GGTATGAAGGGAAGGCAGGGTATAGGGAAAAAATGAGAACCAATATCTGTCACATAAAGGTACAAGATCCCAATGATGAGTGTAACTGTACTATGTACTTTAAAAGTACCAAAAAACTGAATTTTTTAAAAAAATCTATTTAGGAACTTACACAGAGCACTTAAATTTGAGGGAAGAGACTACAGCCAAGGACCACCATTCTTTTTCTCCTTGTGTAGTCACTTTACCTATTTTCATGTTCTAACAAGTAAGCTGGAAACCATCTTAATTTTTTCCTCTGGCAATACCAGCATTTAATTTTGGAGGCTTTACACTTTCACTTAATTCTCTGATCAATGCCCAGGAGTTCTAATTCCAAGTACCACTCATTCTGAAAGAACAAGATTCAAGGTTGACAGAATGATTACTCATTCTTCATACACAAACATCAAAACTGATGAAGAACACAGTAGTGAGATGGCCTGTCCACAGTTGTGCTATTAGTCAAGGTGGGACAAGGAAAAGCACAAATCACATTTCCAAATCCATGATCAGAATTGTTTGTACAACTGAGCCGGGGATTTAGCTCAGTGATTTTGCCACTTGCCCTTGCAAGCACAAGGGCCCAAGTTCCATCCCGGGTATCAAAAAAAAAAAAAAAAAAAGAATTGTTTGCCCAACAAATACTGAATTGACTGACTATATCTGACCTAATTTCAGCTTCTAAAAGGAAGATGATTATATGATTAGCTCCATCAAAAATTAGGCAGGTTCACCATGCATGACCCAAAGCTTTGGGTTTGTCCTGCTCTTGTTTTTCCAAAAGCATCAGGTTGTTTATTTGCCCTCGCTCTGTTTTCCTAATATGTATATTCCATGCTGTGAATTTCCCTCTTAATACTGCTTTCATTGTGTCCCACAGATTCCAATATGTTGTATTGTCATTGTCATTTAATTGTAGGAACTGTCTGATTTCTTCTTTAATGTTGTCTGTGACCCTTTGGTTATTCAGGAGTGTATTATTCAATTTCCATGTGTTTGTGAAATTCTTGGCAGTTTTTCTCCAATTTCTGTTGATCTTCAATTTCATCACACCGTGGTCTGATACTACACAGGCAATCACTTCAGTTCCTTTGCACTTACTTAGACATGTTCTATGAGCAAGTATGTGTCCTGTTTTGGAGAACAATCCATGTGAAGCTGAAAAGAATGAGTATTCTGATTTTGTGTGGTGGAATACTCTGTAAACATCTGTTAAGTTCATTTGTTCAAGAGTTTGTTGAGTTCTAGTATTTTTTTTCTGTTTATTTTCTGTGTAGTTGATCTATTTGTTACATTGTGGTATTGAGGTCCCCCATTACTATTGAGTTAGTGCTTATTTCATTTTTCATGTCCATTAGTATTTGTTTTGTATAGTTGGGTGCACTAGTGTTTGATGCATATATATTTGATTGTCATCTCTTTGTCTTGGATTGTTCCCTTTCCAGGGATGTAGTGTCCTTCTTTGTCTCTCTTAATCAGCGTTGGTTTGAAATCCATTTGATCTGCAAAGAGGATAGCTACTCCTTATTTTTTTCAGGTTCCTATTGCATAGAGTATTATTTTCCACCCTTTAACTTTTAGTCTATGAGTTTCTTTTTGAATTAACTGTGTTTCTTGTATGCAGCATATTGTTGGATCTTGCTTCTTGACCCATTCAGCCAATCTATTTATTTTGATTGGTGAATTGAAACCATTATCAGTGGTGGTTATAACTGATATGTATTGACTTATCTTTGTCATGACTTTTTCTTTTTGTTGTATTCCCCACTTTGCATTTAATTTCTAGTCATGCCTGATGGATTTATTCTGCTGGGCTTCCTGGGGTTGTGATCATCATTGTCATCTCATAGGATATTGTTTAAAATGTTTTTGAGTGCTGGTTTGGTATTCATGAAGTTCCTAAGGTGCTTTTTGTCAGGAAAGTATCTTATTTCTCCATCAATTTTGAAAAATGTTTTTACAGGTTACATCAGTGTAGGTTGGAGGCTGTTTTCCTTTAGGGCTTGAAATATATCACTCCAGGCTCTTCTTGCCTTGAGGGTTTGTGTTGAAAAGTCTGCTGTGAGTCTTATAGGTTTTCCTTTGCATGCAATTTTTTTTCTTTTCTCTGACTGCTTATAGAATTTTGTTCTTCTGTTGAGTTTCTAGAATCTAACTTTTATAGGCCTATGTGTAGATTTTTTTTTTAATCACTGCTAATTGGAGTCCTCTATGCCTCACTTATCTGTATGTCAAATTGTTTTCCCATACTTGGGAAGTTTTCTGCCATTGCTTCTGTGAACAGTTTCTTTTATATCATCTGCACTCTCTCCTGTTTATTCATTGACTTTGCATCATCTAGCAGCTGTTGGATTGATTTCTCATGGTCCCTTACTATTTTTAATCATTTTTTCTTTTCCTGTGCCATGATTGCAATCCTATCCTCTATATCTGAAATTGGATCTTTGCATTGGCTCATTCTGCTGTGTAAACTTTCAATGGAGGTTTTAATCTCCTTGCAATCTGTTTGTATCTGTTTTACAGATTCCATTTGTTTCTTATGTTGGGATTCCATCATGTTCCTCATATCCTCTATTTTTTTTAATCTGTGTGTGCTCTAGATTTATTAATCATGTCTTGCACTATGGGCGTAATCTGTGCTCTTAGCTGAGAAATTATTTCTGATTATGCCAGTTTTATTCTTTTGATTGGTAAATTGAAATCATTTACATTGTTTACCTGATATGTTTTTCACTTATCTCTGTCATGTTATTTTTCCTCTAATGATTTTCTTTCCTTTCCCCCTGATTAATTGCAAAGATACATTGGTGGGGTTCATCAGTCTGGGTTGCAGGTTGTTTTCTTTCAGGGCATAAAATGCATCATTCTAAGCTCTCCTTTGAACTGGTGTTTGTGTGGAGAAGTCTACAATGATTTTGATGGGCTTTTCCTTATAGGTGATTTTTTTCCCTCTCTTACAGCTTTTAATATTCTATTCTTGTGTTAAATTTCTGGATTCTTGACTATTATGTGGACCTTGATGTAAATTTTTTTGATCATCACTAATTGGAGTTCTATATATGTCACCTGTATGTCAAATTCTTTTCCCATGCTTGGGAACTTTTTTTTAACATGACTTCTATAAACAGGTTTTTTATGTCCTTTGCAATAGCCCCTGCTTTTTCATTACCTCTGATCAATCTTGTCTTATTCTTTGCATTATCTAGCAGATGTTGGATTGTGTGTGTGTGTGTGTGTGTGTGTGTGTGTGGTCTCCTGCTATTTTTAGGAAGTCTTTCTTTTCATGATTGTTTACCACAAACTTTTCTTCTAGATCTGATGTTTTGTCCTCATATTGGTTCATTCTTTTGCATATACTTTCAATATAATTTTTAATCTCCTATCTGAATCTTTTTCATGGATTCCATTTCTTTTCAATGTTGGGCATTCAATATTGCCGGGTGTGGTGGCTCACACCTGTAATCCCAGCACTCGGGAGGCTGAGGCAGGAGGATCACTGTGAGTTTGAGACCAGCCTGGGCTACATAGTAAGTTCCAGGTCAGTCTCAACTACATAGTGAGACCCTGTCTCAAACCCCCCCCCAAAAAAAATAATAATAATCGATGTTGGGCATTCATGCTTTCCATCATTTTCCTAAGCTCCTCTATTTTTTGTGTTTGTATCTACTCTAAATTCCCTAACCATGACTTTTGGACATCATCCCTGTAGTTATGTGAGAGATTCTCATCTGATTTTTTTTTTTAACCTTCTCATTCATCTGCTATTTCTGCTACCATTTCAAAAAGTCCAGTTGGGGTGTTGTTGTTGTTGTTGTTTTCCTCCATCTCATGTCCCCTGGTTTTCCCTTAGTGAGTTAGAGGTGTGGGGTTGTATCTTGTTTCCATGTTTTCTCATTTTCTATTTTTTATTTATATTCTGTGTTGATGTTTGTAAATTGCTTGTGGTAGGTAGCTTTGTTACTAATACCAAGACCTCTCTAGGAAATTATTAGTCAGAAATTTTTCCTACATGTAGCTGGCTTTTGGCTTGTAAGTCTGTCCTAAGATCTTGCCTCATTGATCTTTTAGAAATTAAAGGCTGGTATCTTTTTAGCCTAGTACCCATTTCTTTGGTTCTGGATTATGGTATTGTTTATGATCTCCAGACAGTGTCTGTATTGGCATACATGGAAGAACAACTGATCACAACTATGTCACCTTCACTAAAGTAATAAAATTAGTAATAACAATAACATCAAGCACAATCCAGAAAATGACAAGCTGTGGTAACTATTAATTTGCCACCTTCTCCAGAGGTGCAAGCTTTATAGTTATATAACAAAATCTAAAACCAATCAGAAAATTATACAGTATACATCCTCTTTACTGATAGATTTTACCCGTAAGGGAAAAGGATTTAGAAGGCACAGGAGGAAAAAATTGAGAAGTGATACAGAATTTTAAAGGGATAAGAGAATAGAGAAATGAAAGCAGGAATAAAGACTGGAAGCAAGACTGAAGGGCAAATGAAGATTATCTGAGTAATAAGCCAAACTAAGAAACAGAGTCAGATCATTTATGCCTTGAGATCTACTTTCCTGCTCTAATCTGCCTTATCCCAATCACTTTTTAGTCCTCAGAGAGTTGCCACTGTATGCATTCCATCGAGGGTTTTTGTTACATTCAGTGGAAGGAATGCTTCTCATAAATCTTGTGTGGTAATGCTGGTAACAGATATTGAATTCATTACTTAGCTATTGCTGAAAATATTCATTTAATGCAACTATGAGGTAAAGTGTTGTTATCTGCATTTTACATTTTGGGAAAGTAAGGCATTATACAATTAGGAATATATGAGGATGCCCAGATAGGCAACTGCTAAAGTAGGAATTGTAATCTGTTGTAACTCTTTAGAGTCCCAGCAGTGTCCCGGCACCAACATGCATGTTCTGAGCACATTGTATAGAATCCCAACCCACCTTCTTCTGTGACTTCTACAGGCTGCAGACCTCACTGGAAGGATCCAGAGAGACCCTTAAGCTGTGCTATGGAGACAGTGACCTTTGAGGATGTGGCTGTGACCTTCACCGTGGAAGAGTGGGCTTTGCTAAATACATCTCAAAAGAACCTCTACAGAGATGTGATGTGGGAAACATTTATGAACATAGTTGCTACAGGAAAAATTTTGGATAATCAGGAAATTGATGAGGCATACAAATGTTGCTGGAAAAATATAAGAAATGAAGAAGTAGAGAAATGCTATCTATATAAATCTTGGAATCAATGTGAAGAAATATGCTATGGGACTCCAGATAATAATGTGAACATGAAAAAAGCTGATTTAAAACCCGCTGAAAGCTTTTCTTGTAGAAAGTCCTTTACTGTGCATTCATTGCAAAATGTGCCCATCATGGCTCACACCAGACACAAAACATGTGAATATGAGCAATTTGAAGAGAACCTGTCTAAATGTAATGAACCTGAGAAAACCTACAGTGATTCTCAGTCCTTTCAGAATCATGCAAGGAGAAAGGCTGCAGAGAAACCATATAAGTATGAGGAACATGGGAAAGCCTACTCTGATCATTGGGAAAGAACTCACCGTGATGTGAAGACCTCTGTATGTAAGAAAACTGTGAAAGTCTCTAGCACATCACATGACATTGAAATCCGTGAAGGAAGTGACAGTGGAGGGAACCCACATATTTATAAACAATCTGGGAAAACATTCAGTACATGCAAATATTGGCAGAGACATGAAAGAAGTCACACTGGGGAGAAGCCCTATGTATGTAAGCAATGTGGGAAAGCATTTACTACACAAAATTATTGTAAAATACATGAAAATGTTCACACCGGGGAAAAACCCTATGAATGTAAGCAATGTGGGAAAGCATTCAGTACACACAGGTATTGTAAAATACATGAAAGGAGTCACACTGGGGAGAAACCCTATGAATGTAAACAATGTGGAAAAGCATTCAGTACTCACACCAACTGTCAAAGACATGAAAAATGTCACACTGGAGAGAAACCCTATTTATGTAAGCAATGTGGGAAAACATTCACTACACACAGTCGTTTTAAAATACATGAAAGAATTCACACTGGGGAGAAACCCTATGAATGTAAGCAATGTGGGAAATCATTCAGTACACACAGGTATTGCAAAATACACGAAAGAAGCCACAATGGGGAGAAACCCTATGAATGTAAGCAATGTGGAAAAGCGTTCAATACTCACAACAATTGTCAAAGACATGAAAGATGTCACACTGGGGAGAAACCCTATGAATGTAAGCAATGTGGGAAAGCATTCACTACACACAGTCGTATTAAAATACATAAACGAATTCACACTGGGGAGAAACCCTATGTATGTAAACAATGTGGGAAAGCATTCAGTACACTCGAATACTGGAAAATACATGAAAGAATTCACACTGGGGAGAAACCCTACGTATGTAAACAATGTGGGAAAGCATTCAGGACACTTAGCAATTGTCAAATACATGAAAGAATTCACACTGGAGAGAAACCCTATGAATGTAAGCAATGTGGGAAAGCATTCACTACGCACAGTCACTGTCAAAGACATGAAAGAGGTCACACTGGAGAGAAACCCTATGAATGTAAGCAATGTGGGAAAGCATTCACTACAGTCAGTTATTGGAAAATACACAAAACTATTCATACTGGGGAGAAGGCTTATGTATGTAAGCAATGTGGGAAAGCATTCAGTACACACAGGTATTGTAAAATACATGAAAGAATTCATACTGGAGAGAAACCCTATGAATGTAAGCAATGTGGGAAAGCATTCACTACGCACAGTCATTGTAAAAGACATGAAAGGAGTCACAACATGTAGAAACCCTAAGGACATAAACCATTTGGGAAATGATTTTCTACTAAGTCCTTATTTTGCAGACATACAAGAAATCACATTGCTACAAAACCCTATGTATGTAAGCCAATGTTAGGAAGTATTTACTAATAGCTTTTCACTTTGTAGACCTAAAAGAACTTACACCTGGGAGAATCCATATGTGTTAAACAATGTGGAAAAGCATTCAGTACACATAACTAAAATCAAATATATAAAAGAAGACTGGGAGAAGCGCTATATAATTAAGACTGTTTTGAATATGCTGTGAAAATTTCTTTTATAGCAGAGACCCATAGAAATAATATGAAAAGTTTGGTGTCAATTTTTTCTTTGTAAATTTTCCAGTAAACACATTCCCAGATGGAGATATCCTAAAAAGTGTAAATATTGTGTGGTGTGTTTTTCTTGTAAATTTTTGGATTATTTATCTGTAACCATTACTATAAAAATAAAAATCAAGTTGATATAAAAAGAGTCCCAGCAATAACTCCCATATTTATACTGCTTTTATATGGTGTTTTTTTAACATCTGTTACTTGAGAAGTGAACAAGGCCTGCTAGAGGAATTCCAGAGTCACTGTAACTGTGTACTAAAATGGTTATGCATAAACTATTTGATTCTACTTTTTAAGGGATTGGCCTTATAAATGACAGTTTTCTTATTCTGATTCTATACTTTCACAGATCTTGATAAAGACTAGGTTTTAAAATTTTTATTTTAGTATGAAACATTTTGCTATTTGTATGTTAAACTTTGTTGTTTATGATGAAGCCTTTCCATAAAGGTTTTTGCCTTTTTTTTTTTTTGAGGAGTAGGAAAATTTTATTGTAGCTCATCTTTGTTTTTCTTAAGACTATAAGAGTTATGTAAAACATATAATTACTGATTTAAGCCATTGTGATAGTTATCAAAAATCCTTCTTTTAGTTCACTAAGAAAAAAATTTTACATTTTTTTAAACATATCGTTGTACAGTGAAATTAAGTGTGTTTTTCATACTACTTCTCTCAATACCCAGTTTTTCCTATGAGGGAAAGAAACCTTTAAGTAAAGTTGGTTTTAAAATTTTAATTATTATTTGCTTTCCTACATATGCTAGGGAAATGCACTAACATGAACTAAGCCTTTACACGCCTTTAAGTTTTAAAAGGTATTTATGTTAGAAAAGGAAAAAAAAATTAAATGTAGAGACTATCCCGCCTTCCTTGCAAGCTCATGATCCTGAGTTTGATCCCTGGTACAAAAAAAAGAAAAGATTAAAAAAAAAGAGAGAGACTATCAAATAGAATAGCACTGAGATGAGGCCTCAATGTGTGATTTCTAAACTAACTCCCAACAAGCTTATGCTTCTGCCTTTAAGATTGTTGTACAGTGCTGCATATACCCAAACTTTATGTAATTCACAAATGTCACAGATTTCTACCATGAAAAAGATCAATATCTCCACCTCTAGACTGTAGTGCACCTCTTTCACTCTTGAAGACCCATCTGTTTTTTTTTTTTTTTTTTTTTTTTTTTTTTTGGTACCGCTATCTCGGGTCCTTGCACTTGCAAGGCAGGCCACTGAACTGCTGAGCTAAATCCCTGGCCCTTGAGGGCCCATCTTATTTTTCTTTCATTATGTGCTTTTAAAATTCTGCCTAATCCTGTTATGCCTCTTTTGAAAAAAAAAAGCAGTTGTGTTTATTAAAGATTATTGTGGATTGTTAATGTTCCTGGGACGTGTATTCATACATTTCCTTGATTTGACAAGGTAGCACATACTGTATTTTCCAGAGCTCTAGAGCCCTCAGATTACTTTCCAGGTCCATTTTTGCATTGCTATTGCTAATGGGCTTCTGCATTTCTGAGTAGTGATGCTGCACTAGGACTTAAGTGTTGAGTGGTTGACTAAGGGTGCACTCTGGCAGATTAATTCACATATCAGCAAGGTGAATTTTAATATGAATTTACTGAAAGAATTATTAGTGGGCTGTTAATGAAAGGTGTAATGAGCATAGGAAGTAGTCATTAGAGACTTTCTGAAATGAATGTTCTTCAGCAATAGAGGAATAGCTGTTTTCAGGTATCTAATTGACGTTATGATTTGGAGAACATTTTAGTCCTCACGAGTTGTCTTGGTAAGGGAGGTTGTGGCAGAGGAGCTCCATTTATTAGTTTTTTTGTTGCTGAGACAAAATATCCAACACCCACAAGTTAAAGGAGGAAAGGTTTATTTTAGTGCACAGTTTGTAGAGGTTTCAGTCCATATTTGACTGGTTCCAAAGCAGGGTGGCACAGCAAAGGTGAATCACAGAAGAGAAACAGTTCACAGCAGGGTAGGCAGGAGGCAGCAAGCAGCAGCAGATTAAGCAGTGAAACATCAAAAGCTGTGCAACAGCAAGCCTGCCGGTCTGTTTTAACCCACCTAGCCAATTTGGAGAATTTTAGTCCTCACGAGTTGTCTTGGTAAGGGAGGTTGTGGCAGAGGAGCTCCATTTATTAGTTTTTTTGTTGCTGAGACAAAATATCCAACACCCACAAGTTAAAGGAGGAAAGGTTTATTTTAGTGCACAGTTTGTAGAGGTTTCAGTCCATATTTGACTGGTTCCAAAGCAGGGTGGCACAGCAAAGGTGAATCACAGAAGAGAAACAGTTCACAGCAGGGTAGGCAGGAGGCAGCAAGCAGCAGCAGATTAAGCAGTGAAACATCAAAAGCTGTGCAACAGCAAGCCTGCCGGTCTGTTTTAACCCACCTAGCCTTCTGGCTTACTCTGACTGAGCCTTCCCATTATCCACACCCAGAAGTATGCTAACCAATCTGACTGATTTAATAAGCACTCCCAGTCTCACATCACAACATCACACTCTTAATCCACATTCACACAATTCTGGATCCAGCCACCTCCAAAAAGGCCCATCTATGAGTGCATTAGGCTTTAGGGGGTACATCTAGATACAAGCCATAACGTTTCACCCCTGGTCCCCCAAATGCTCCTGCACATTTCTTTATGTAAAAGGCATTTAGTCCATCTCTCAAGTTGCCAAAGTCCTAACATTTTCAGCATTGATCAGAATTCCAAATCTAATGTCTCCTATGAGATTTAAGGCAAACTCTTAGCTATGAGCTTCTGTACAGATGAAAAGTTGAACACTTTTGGCATACGGTGGCACAAGATAAACATTCTCATTCCAAATGGGAAATAGAAGAAAATGGGACTAAAGTAAGTACAAAATCCAGCAGGGTAAACACTAAGTCCCGCAGTTCCATGACCATTATCTGAGGCAGTCTGTGGCAAGATGTGAACTCCAAAAGGCTTGAGTCACTCTGTTCATAGGACACTTCTGGTAGTTGCAGCTGTCATGGCTTTCTTCATGGGCCTGCTTTGTTCACTCCTTGCAGCTTTTTTCCAGTGATCCGTGTTCCTGGCTTCCTTAATTTTCTGTGGTCCCCGCTGCACCTTAGGTTTCACACTTGCAGATTCACACACTGAATTCTTAGGGACACACTCTCTGGCCTCCCAGGCCCTCTAAAATCTGGGTGGAAGCCTTCCTGATCCCACAGGTCTTGCATTCTGCGTGTATCTAAAACCAGCACCACACAGATGATGCCAAAGTTGGCTGCCAGCTGGAGCAGTAGCCAGACTTCCTTCTCTCTTGGCTGTTGGGACAGAGTGCCTATGAACCAAATTCGAAGGAACAACTTTCCTAGGCCACTGCCCTTCTGAAACATGGTGCTCTGAGACTCTTCTCAAAGCAAAGTCTTAAATCTTTGCAATATTGAGGCTGAAAAAGCTGGAGTCCTGCTGGTTCTTGTGATATCCTCAGATTGTTTTTTCTGTTGTCTTCTGAAATACTTGGCTTTTTCTTGCTAGTCTTTTCAGCCAGCCGTTTCCCCTCTGTTCATCTTTGTGAGCTGCAACTTTATTTGAGCATTCTTCTTGCCAAACTCAAAACTTTTTAAATCGTTCTGCTGGGTCCTTTATTTTTGATGGTCAATATAAATCTGGAGAAAAGCCCCCAACAGTAGCCATTCCACCATGTCAGCATTAGACTGCCTTTAAATTTTTTCTGACAGAGTATAGATTGCCACACTTAGTCTCAGAAAAAGTGTGTACGCGAGAAAAGCACTGATGAATTTTCTGCTAAAGCTTAACGCATATGTGGCCAATGTAGTCCTTTCCAAAAGAAATCTCCTGAGGTTGATCTTTACCTGTTTCAGTTTCTTTCAGCATTCTTGTCTTGTGAGCTCTGACCAAACTCTCCCATCAAGTACAATTTAAAGCATTCCAGGGCTGCTGCTTCTTTCTTTTTTTTTTTTTTTCTTTCTCCAGGGCTGCTTCTTCAGCTGGCTTTTCCAAACCTTTCCACACTCTTCCCACAAGCCAGCTTCATGATCACTGAGACTCATGGGGAGAGATTAAACAACTCATTGCTTAAGCCAAACAAGTACTGTAGAGCGCTGTCATGCCTTTCACTGCAGAAAACCTTTTCCTGGTGATGGTAGCATAAGTCATCTAAAATTCTAAGATGATGAATGTAAAAGGGTTTTTTTTCATTCTGCTTCTTTTAGCTCTACACAAAAAGTAAGTGACACCATACAGCAGGCACATGTATTTACACCTCCTGTTTTTGATATTGTCACCTGGAGAGGCTTTGAGCCTTCCTTCACTTTCAGTGACACCTCTTTTACTGATGGAGCCTGGCTACCTGCTCCTGGCCATTTAAGGGATTACAGTAGGGATTCTGGCCACTCTGAATTCTCTAATGGCTGACATTTACTATGTTATGAATGGTACTTTTTGGCCAAAGAATTTCTCCTATCTGGTCTGTAACATCATTAATAGCTCTTGTTTTGTCCCCTTTTATCCCCAAAGGTTCATGATCATATATGTTCATTGGACTCAAACATACTGAGGGGGCCCACCATCAGGTCTTTATTAATACAGTTGAACTCCCAGGTTCTTTCATGTCTGGCATGCACTTTCCCAAACCTAACATTCCCATACATTATCCATGGGTGCTTATAAAAGGTAGTCTCAATTTGGGGTAGACTTTATGTCAGTCCACCAATCTCTCTATTATTCTCCTTTCTTATAAGCTAACCCTAGAAAACTGGGAACCCCCCGATTTGATGGTTTGAGAGTACAATCATACCAGGAACTATGCTTTGCCTTTTAATTACAGTGGTGCTTTATTCACACACTGAGTTCTTTCCAGGATTCTGGTCACAAACCAAACTGGTTGAGAGCTAAATCAAATTCCCATTACAGTCAATATTGAACCTAACTATTGAATTTTATTCAGCTATCATCCAATTCAATTTATGACCAGAATCATGGAAAGAATTAAGTTCTGGAACTATGGTATCTCTGATGCCATCCTATCCCATACTGTGGATAAGGTGTATGTTATGGAATGTGTGTAATGTGCCATTTCATCTTGAGAGTATGGAATTGGCCATATTGCCTTCTCAG